AACACAACCACTAAACACAGCATAGAATATTGGTCATTAGCCATATACAACCACTAATCACAGCATAGAATATTGGTCATTAGCCATATACAACCACTAATCACAGCATAGAATATTGGTCATTGACAAAACACAACCACTAAACACAGCATAGAATATTGGTCATTAACAAAACACAACCACTAAACACAGCATAGAATATTGGTCATTAACAAAACACAACCACTAAACACAGCATAGAATATTGGTCATTAGCCATATACAACCACTAAACACAGCATAGAATATTGGTCATTGACAAAACACAACCACTAAACACAACATAGAATATTGGTCACTAGCCATATACAACCACTAGACACAACATACAATATTGGCCATTAGCTGGTAAGAAAGTGTGACTGTTAACCACGTGCTACATTTTAAACAAATCTGACCACTATGGCATCACACCATATAGGATGCAGAACCAGGAAGATAAAATCTTTACAGAAGCCATTATTGACCCGTGAAAAATAAAAACGTTTTTGTTCAATAAAAGCTACACGAAGAAAAACGAGAAACAAAGCTGCTACTATGTAAAACTGGATGACCAACACGTGAAATGTATTTACTATACGAAGACGAAACCTTAGAGACCCAAAACTCTTGCAGAGTTGGCTGTTGTAGGTTCGTGCAATATATCTAAGCAACTAAAACATGATGTAATTTCATGTTATATCTCCTAACCGTTAGCCATAACATCACATTACTGCGATCTCAGTATTTGTTACGGCTGAAATCAGAGAAAGGTTTTCTCGTTCTACTGAAATAGCCCTCCTCTTCCTCCCCCTCCCAGTGGCTTATATCGGTAAAAACGGGGTTTCGATACCCGTGGCGGTCACAGCGCAGACAGCTCATCGTGTGGATTTGTGCTTAAATATAAACAAACGAAATCCTGAATTGTTAATAGATATGCTCTGAAAATAGCCGAGTCCATCATAACCACCTTGCTAGAAACCTGATTAAACAACAATGTAACACTCAGACTATAGAAAGTTGAATTATAACCTGGTTAATTAAACAATTATGTAACACTCAGACTATATAAAGATGAACTAAAACCTGGTTAATTAAACAACTATGTAACACTCAGACTATATAAAGTTGAACTAAAACCTGGTTAATTAAACAACTATGAAACACTCAGACCATATAAAGTTGAATTAAAACCTGGTTAATTAAACAACTATGAAACACTCAGACCATATAAAGTTGAATTATAACCTGGTTAATTAAACAACTATGTAACACTCAGACTATATAAAGTTGAACTAAAACCTGGTTAATTAAACAACTATGTAACACTCAGACTATATAAAGATGAACTAAAACCTGGTTAATTAAACAACTATGTAACACTCAGGCTATATAAAGATGAACTAAAACCTGGTTAATTAAACAACTATGTAACACTCAGACTATATAAATATGAATTATACCCTGGTTAATTAAACAACTATGTAACACTCAGACTATATATTTTTGAATTATAC